GAGAGAGAGAGAGAGAGAGAGAGAGAGAGAGAGAGAGAGAGGCTGAGAGAGAGAGAGAGAGAGAGAGAGAGATGCGGAGAGAGAGAGAGAGAGAGAGAGAGAGAGATGCTGAGAGAGATGGAGAGATGAAAAAGAGAGAAATATAGATACTGAGAGAGACATGAGAGATCCCGGTGTTTTGTTTTCTGTGGGAAATGTGTCCAAATGACTCTTGAGTGTTTAAGGTTGCAGAAATAGGCAGCCAAGCTAAGTGCCTGAAGGACCCCATCCCGTCACTGGGAATCCAGGCGCTTCAGCGAGCGGCATGCTGGATTCATATGAGTGGTCTGCGGGATTTAAAATTATGAAATTAGTGGTCCCTGAGGTCTGAAAGTTTGGTTACCTCTGGCTTAGCGAGGGCTGTAAAAGCACTGTGAGGCAGTATATAACTCTGCTATTGCTAGAAACTACTTGGGTTTTACAAGAAATGTTGAGCGAAGAAAGCATTTTGGCAAGAAATGTTAGGATTGGTATCATTTGCTCATCTGAACAAGAAGGTGTCAGATACTTTTCAGAAACCTGGATTGGCTTGGTGAATTAATTTAATCATAAAATCAAAGAATCAAGGAGCTGATGGCAATTGTTGCCAGGAAGCCTTCATACAGATTTATCTTGTGTGCTAGTTGTGCCATGTCCACTCCCTCCCCCTGTGCAATTTTATTCTCTTCCTTTCCATCTTTGTTCATTTTTAAGTCAATTTTAATGTTAATATTTATTGTTTTAATGTTATCTTGTTGCTAGAGTCACATTTAGGTAAGATGGCAGCATGTACGTTTGATAAGAATAGAATAGAATTCTTTATCAGCCAAGTGATAAGACACACACAAAAATTTTCTCCGGTGCATAAGCTCTCAGTATATGTACAATAATAGTGGTAGATTGTTATAGTCATTGTAAAAATACATTCATTATAAAACCTTAGATACAACACTTAGTGATAGTCATGGATACTAAATAAGCAATCAACATAAATCATACTAGGATACTAAACAATATAAATTGTAAGATACAAGCAACAAAGTTATAGTCATGAGAAGATAAGGAGATAGGTAATAGGGAGGATGAGAATAATGATGATAATACTGCCTTTCTAAATAGTTTGACAGTGTTGTGGGAATCAGTTGTTTAATAAGTAATTATTTAATAAATAATCAGAAATCCTTCATACAGTTACTCGTGCCCTGGTGATTTCATGACTAGATTATTCCAGTGTTCTACATGGAGCTTGTTTTCCATCCAGAAGCTGCAGCTTCTGTAATGGCGCAACCAATAACAGGCACTGTTGAATATGTCCATGTATCACTGCTGCTATGAAATCTGCATTGGTTGTCAGTCAACTTCCAGGTACAATTCAAAATGCTAGTTATTACCTATAAAGCTCTGCATGACTTAAGGTCTACATACCTGAGAATCTGTCTATCTCCAATTGTCTCTGCCCACTTGGTACATTCCGGAAGAGTGGTCTGCTCCACATCCCTACTATTAAACATTGTCATCTTAGGTATTCAGGAAGTATACCTTCTCTGTCTTAATCCCTGCCCTCTGAAACAGATCTCCCCCACTCCAAATTACAGGCAGTACCCTTTGTCCTGGCATTCTGGAAAGCTCTTGAACCTGGCTTTGGTCTCAGATCTAGAACTATGTATTTGGGGAACCCTTTTGTAGTTTCTTGTTACAATTGTTTTAGCCTGACCTGTCTGTATATGATTTTAATTGTTTTTATTGGGTTCTATGCTGGGCGACTAGTAACACATTTAAATGATAAAATTTCCTCTGAGATACCTTAATTATAAACTGAATAAAAATTATCAAAGTATTTAATAGGTAATATGAATACTTTTGTTTTGGCAGAGTGACATCAGGATAAAGTTTGAACATAATGGGGAAAGGCGGTAAGATTATTATTATTATTATTATTATTATTATTATTATTATTATTATTATTATTATTATTATTATTATTATTGTTATTATTGTTATTGTTATTATTATTATTATTATTATTATTATTATTATTATTATTATTATTATTATTATTAATTTGTTTTTATATATATATATCTTACTGCAATTCAGATATACAGTCAGGATTGTATGTATTGGGACAGTGATAAGTTTTTTAGTATTTGGCTTCTACACACCACCACATTGTATTTGAAATGAAACTCAAGATATGAGTGAAAGGAAGACTACCAGCTTTAATTCATGGGGTTTGACAAAAGTGTAGCATTAACTATTGAAAAATGACAGCTGTTTTAATACACTCACTCCCATTTATGGTAACAACTAACAGAACTACAAATATAAGGATTGTTTTTAATACTTGAATGGAAATCCTTTGCAGTCAGTGACTGCCTGAATTTCTGGGACCCATGTACATGAGAAATGCTGAATTTCCTCTTTGACATACTTTACTGCAGTTGCCTTCAGCTGTTTTTTTTTTTGTGTGTGTGGATTTTTCTGTCTTCAGTCCTGCCTTCAGTAAGTGAACCTTGTATTGCACCGGATCAGGTGACTGACTTGGCCAGTGAAGAATATCCCGCCACCTTGGGGTTTTTTTGCCTAGAGAAACTCTTGGCAACTTTGCTTTGTGCTATGTTATGTGTCATTATCCATCTGCAATATGAAGCGCCATCCTATCAGATTTTTTAGCATTTGGCTGAATCTAAGCAGAGAATACAGCCTTCTACACATCTGAGTTCATCCTCCTATTTTTATCAGCAGCCAGGTCATCAACAAATACCAGTGACCTGGTTTCACTGGCAGCGATATGTGACCCTGTGATAATATGTGTTTGACAGATGATGTGGTATATTTTGGATCATGAGTTGTTCCTTTTCTTCTCCAGACTTTTCTCTTCTCATTCCTTCTGGTACAAGTTAATCTTCATTTCATTAGTTCAAAGAATTTTATTCCAGAATTGGGCAGGCTTTTTTAGGTGGCAAAGTCTAATTCTTCTTGAGTATTACCTGTGACTTCCACCTCTATATTTACTCTCATGAAGCTGTCATTTGATTGTAGACTTTGACAATGAGGTTCCTGCCTCTTCAAGAATGTTCTGGACCTGGCTTAACATTATGAAAGAGTTTTTCTTCACTACTGACAGAATTCTGCGGTCATCCATTTTTGTGGTCTTCCAGGCCTTCTTTGGTGTTGCTGAGCCTGCCAGTTAGTTGCTTCTTTTTAAGAATGGCAAACTGTTGTTTTGGCCACTCCCGATGCTTTTGCAATCTCTGATGGATTTATTTTGTCTTCTTCCTTTCAGTCTAACGATAGCCTCTTTCACTTGCATAGACATCTCTTTGGACCTCATATTGATTATTCATGTGTGTGTGTGTTTGTGTGTGTGTGTGATATTCCTCAATGGTTAACAGCTGCACTTTTGTCAAACCCCTTGAATTAAAGCTGAAAGTCTTCACTTTCGCTCACATTGTGAGTGTTTCATTTCAAATTCAGTGTGTGGAGTACAGTGACCAAAAATGCCCCCCAAAACGCTACCATTGTCCCAATATAGACTAACCTGACTCTATTGCAGTTATCTTCTTTAAGCTGAATCAGATCTGTACTGAAATGTTTGTTTTAAGATTAAACAATAAAAAATACGTAAATAACAGAATCCAAGGTAGAGGGACTGCCTATAAAAATAGAGAGAATTTATGAATATTAGCAAAGAACAGTACGTTAACAATTTAGAAGAAAGGAAGAAAAAGAAGGGGAAAAGTTTGATACACTGCTCAAACCATTTTGTTACATGAACTATGTAGAGCCCATTTTGCTGCCATAATCAATATTTTGGTGTCCCATCCAGAATTATCCCCTTTATCCGGCCTGTCCGCTATGAGGATGTTCAGCAGAAAGTGAAAACAGCTTTTGGGCAGCCACTGGATCTCTACTACATGAATAATGAGGTAGTAACTTACACTATATAGTGTGTTTTTATTCCTTTCTAAAAGGGTTAAGTTTAGTTCTAACTAAAAAAATAAAAACAATAGGATGAGCAAGCGACTCAGAAGTAAATGCTTTTGTTTCAATAAAAGTATCTTTTGTCCATGTAAGTGCCTGCTCAGAAAATGTAAGGCTGTGGCACCAAAAGCCACCCCTCCAAATAGTATTTCTGACTCTCCTGGCCTAATTTGTGGGTGTGGCTTGGTGATCATGTGACTGGCTGGACATGGCTTGTATGTAAATATTATAAATATTTATATAAATATTGAATTTTTTATAAAAAAAGAGCAACTTTACCCAAAATCAGGCAAAGCAGGCAGATTGAGTTGCTCACAGAATCACAGATTCATTCAGAGATCTATCTGCCATCGGCTAGCTCAGTCTATCAAATTTGCTTGCCGTGAGTCTGCACTGAATTTGCTTGCAAGCAAAACTCCAGTCCTAAGGGAGGTTCGGCTGTGCTGAGCCAAAGATCTAAAGACTAGCTAGAAAGCAAGAAATCCAACCATTTCCTGCTTCCTAGCTAATCTAAATCTCCCGGCACAGCAGAACAGATGATGGTCGGAAAAAGGAAAAATAGCAATTTAGCAGGCAAGTTTACCGGATAAGGAGTGAGTGGGTGGGGAGGGTTCCTGCGGGCCATGTGGGCGGCGCAGCCTTGTGTTTCTGTGCAACCTGGATTAATTGCTTTGTGGGGTTGCTCTGGGGGTGGGATTTTTCTGCGGCCCATCAAAATTTTCTCATGGCCCACCGGTGGGCCATGGCCCACCAGTTGGCGACCGCTGGTTCAGATAGTACAGAAAGTGTCTATTTGAAGAAATCTGCTTCACTTATTGGGAAAAAAGGTATAATAGAATATGGAAATCTTTAAAAATTTGAAATTGCTAAACTGATTTTTATATTAAAATTAACTTCATTTCTCTTCCACACTCTTCTTAAAATAAATTCAAAGGAATAAGTTTTCTGGATATCAGTTTAGGAAAATGCTTGTAGAAATAACTTAAAAAGGTGATAATATATCTGAAGGAATAGTTTCACCATTTTACAGCTTATATATGTTTTCCTTACATAAATTCTGGTTATTTCAAAGCCATATAGCATAAAGCAGTTTAAGAGTCAGTGTTGTCTTGCTGTTCCCTTGTTCAACAAGTCCCTTGTTGCTATTCAGATTTACTAACTCTATTGTCTCTATTTATTCTTTGCAGTTATCTATTCCTTTGAAAAGTCAAGATGACCTTGATAAGGCAATAGATCTGTTAGACCGAAGCTCAAATGTGAAAAGCCTTAGAATATTACTGCTGTCTCAGGATAAAAATCATGTGAGTAAAAGCAGTGTAATCTGTTTATTTCAGTTTCACATTTGTTGTGATCATCACAACAAATTATTGTTCATTAACTGGTATTAATTACTGACTCACTAAAAGATTCTTTACTATGCTGCTTGAAACAGAAACAAAGTATCACATAATTTCTTGGTCTTCCATCCTATTTCTGGTCATCACTGATTGTTCGTCTTGAAGTTGTTTGTAAGGAAATTACAGGTTATGATAAACCCCCAAATATTGGCATGGTAGGAATTCCTGGCTAGAAAGCAAGGAAAGTAATTTCTACGTCAAATATTGCATTGATTGATTTTCAGTTTTCCTTCCGTGTTGTTCCACATGTTCAGGCTGTGTTGTGATCTTTACTTCATAGTGATACATATATTTAAAGCCTTGTTAAGTTTTGAATCTCTTAATAATTTAACTATTAATTCTATATTGTAGAATGCATTAATTTGATTTCATTCACTGTTTTGTTTGCTGATAACATTAACTTTAGGATTTATGAGAGTTATAATCGCCAGTATCTCGAGGGTAGCAGATTAATTCCTCCTGTCATGATAGAATTAACTTGATAATATAAATGCTAAAATTTGATTGATTATATATCTTTCATTGTTTAAAAAGTAGTTTTTGCTTGCCTTTGAAAAATTCAATTTTTACTTATTAGGGCTACAAGTAATTTGCCAATTGCTTCTACTAGTGCCTTCCAAATTCAGATAATATTTAGACTGTAAAGTACTGAGAATTCTATTTCAGAATACCTTTGAACCTCAGTTTGAATTTATTTATATGCCATTATATTTAATAAAATATATAAACTTTCAAATATATCATGGGATCTTTGTTAAGAAGATGTCCTGACAGTTTGCAGCAATCCAACCAGTACACAAGTAAATAATTCAGCAGTATTCATTTAGAGAAGAAACTTCTTTATATACAATAATATAAACCATGATGCTTCATGCAATACCTGCATGGATATTGCATGAAGCAATACCCATGCAGCTCTTGCAACATGCTAGCAAGTACAAGAACAAGAAGAAGAAGCAATCAGAACCACCAGAACTCACCAAAGCTCTATATTTATACAGACCAGTTAGCCTAGGCTGGCCTAGACTACAAGCCGTCTGACATGGCTCACAGTAGGTGCTGTTTCGTAGTCACCAAACCGTTCCCATTAGCTGACTTGTTATGACTATCCCAGCTCATAATCTCTTATATACTGACATATCCCTCATTAATTTTAATATTATAGTGAGGAATCCTTAGTAAATGCACTTAGTTCTGCACTCAGAATGTGCCTGGCCTTTTGTAAATATCTTGTGCATTGTCTTGTCAGGTCTTTAACAAGTTGTTGTAGGCTGTAACACAGATCCAGACTTCCATAGCACTCCAACTATGGTTCCTATCCAGTATTTGTCTAGCTCAAAATTAATATTCTGAATTTATCATGATGTAATTTAACTCCTCAGCACAGGTAGAAATAACCATTTTGATTTTACTTTTAGTCACAGATTAATAATGCCATTCTGCTTATTTTTTTCATTCTCATCATTGTTTTAAAACTAAAACATTCTAACCTTCAGATCCTAAGTTGTTTAAATCTTACTGGTCTCATTTTGTTTTTAACAGATCAGTCTCTCGTCCCATTCAGGGATGCCAAAGCAAGTCAGAATCAAAACTTCCCAATCTATGGGAGATGTAAACACTGCCTACCAGCCACTTGAAACCCGAAGCAGACACCTGTCCATCAGTGAGTGTATTAATCTTCCACTGTATTAGTGACCATAAATAATAATGAGCTCTTTTGATTTGTGGCTTGTTATCTTCATGTTCTGTTATTAGCTACCCAAAATGTATCTAGCTCCTAGAGTCTAGACAATCCTTAATTTTTCCCTTATGCTATAAACTCTATCTTTCTTTTTTCACTCTATATATACATGCACTCTTTCCTCCTTCACATCTCTACTATTAATAGTTATGTGAACTAAAAATTATGGCCTTGCAGCCATTTCCATCCATATCCATTCTGAACCACATCCATAAATTTTTTTTAAAAAAAGGATAACTCCTTTCCTTGCCGTCTGTTTCCTTTCCAGTTGCTGTTCTATTCATAACTTCCTGTCTTCCAGTGCTAGCTGTATGAATTTTATTTAATTTTATATGATATCATATCTCTCATCCATAGCCTATGCACAAAAATATAAAGCAATTAAATCATTAATTGTAATGCCATTTGAAGAGCATTCAGTTAGATGTCAGCATTTGCACAGAACCTGTGGAGATACCTGGAGTGTTGTCTTGCCCTGTTATTTGGGAATAGTAGCAGTTTCAACCTATTGAACCTGAGGAAATGGATAGGGCTCTTATGTCTATGAACTTGGCCATTGCTTTTAAGATTTATACTCGTCTTTGCTGACTATGACTGCCTTGGAAGTGACAAGTAAGTAGGTTGTTGTTGATGAATTCATTGTTGAAGAATGGAGTTGTTCCTCTGTTTCTTAAAGGTTTTTCTTGTAATTTTTATTTGCATATTTTCCCTTTTTCCATTTATAAAGTCACATCACTCTGCATTGTCAGAGGGCTTGCTTAAATTATCATCAAATGAATCACACATACAGAATCTTGTAAATGTCTCTCTTATTGTAAGATCTATTGTTCAAGCTTGTTTGAAATGCATCAGCAAAATGTATCACTTTCTTTTCCGGTGTCCTTTATCTTCTGCAGCCATTTAATAAGCATAATTAAATCTTCAGGTTCTCAGAATACAGGTCGAAGTTCACCCCCACCAGGTTACGTCCCAGAGAGACAGCAGCGAATTGCTCGCCAGGGGTCCTATACCAGCATAAACAGTGAAGGAGAATTTATACCGGAGACCAATGAACAAAGTGTAAGTCGAAGTTCAAAGAATTTATCAATATAAAAATATTTATACGATATATACTTATCAATACAAAAAGTGAGATTAAAATATGTTTAAAAATACATCTTGCAATGTCTGTTAATTTCCTCAACTGAGCTTCTTGTATGCTACCTAGCAAATTATCTTACATTCAAACAGATCAAAACAAACCAGTAATCTTTCTTCCTCCATATTATATTGCCACTCATGCCAATTAGCAACAATGAGCTTCTCTTATTTTGCATCAAGGATGTACTTCTTTCTTTATACCAGTGGCTACATTTGGTAGTAGGTTGGGAGTCCATTTCAGAAAGTGGACTGAATTTGGATTAAAATTAGATTGGATTTGGTTACTTAAATGCAATTAAGGTGAGTATGTCCTGGATATTTACTATTTCCCTGCTTTTGGTACAGTAATATAATTCAGCATCAACTTTGAAAAGTGTTTGGAAACTACAGTCAAAGGCCTTGGGCTTCAGAGGAAACATTTTCTTATGTGGTGATGATGCCAAATCTCAAACATGGGACCTTCTGCATGTTATATAATTATCTTACTAGAGAGCTTCAGGCCGTACCCAACATGTTTAATGTTTTCATGTGTATATATGTATATGTAAACCTGCATTTTATATAGTACTAACTTTTTTTAACAATATTCTTTAATCTTAGCTTCAGGAATTGATTCTTTGTTTCCTCATAGAAATGTTGACATGCTGAGGACCATTTGTATATTGAAAGTTGGGATGGGGGTATTGGTTATATACATCTAGGAAATTCATTAGGGAGGTCCTGCCAAACTCCAGTTTCTTCTGTTTTCTCCTTAAGCCAAGTGATCAGTATTATCAATTAGAGGTAAGAACCAACATAGTTTTCACAATTACCTGTAATGGGAAAATCTCACTCTATATTTGATAACAAAATTCAAGATTCCCTTCATCCTTCTGGATGACATGCCAAAAATCTTCCCATACTAAAATTCAGTGATCTGGTTTTTTGTTTCTCCCTGTGATCCTGGTCGATATGGTTGGAAGGGATGGACTGCATTGCTATCAGGAAGAAGAAAATCCCTAGGTTTCTGAAGTTCACTGTCATTTAGAACCTGACGGTATTACACAGCATTGTTAGGAGAGAAATTCTCTCGCATTGCTAGGAGATACATTACTTCAAGGTTGTTGAGAGACAGCGTAAGCCACTAATCTCCTTTCTTCTTTCCATCAGTTCAGTATTTCTGCTCAAGATGTTAGAAGGGAAGAAGAAACCTAGTCCTCCTCCTCTTCCTTTCTCTTAGCACCATTGACTGGAAAAATGTGTATATGTAGAAGAAATGGATGGGAATGCATAAGTGTGCCTCCCCCTGGAACCAGTGTAAAAACATTTTGACTGGGGTATCAAATTGGTTGCTACTTACAGGCTATAGTTTTTCTTATGGTGATATATAATAGATGGAAATACTATCAACTGAGCACATGCCTGATTCTAAAAAAAAGTCCCACATAATTAATCTTTGTCAGTTTTAATGAAATTAACTTAAAAACTCTGAATTCAATTTTGTATTCTGTCCTTCCAGCCCTCGGCTAAATTTAACTGAGCTTTTGTAATCTTCTGTTCTAGATGTTGGATCCCTTAAGCAGTGCTGAAAACTCCCTATCTGGTAGTTGTCAGTCCTTGAGCCAGCCAGGAGAAAGGTACTGACAGCAAGAACTGTTGATAGGAATTCTGTAGTAATTTCTCCATTACTTTAAATACTAAACTATTAATATTTAACTATATTGCCTATATAGTTAGGCTGAAAATATAGAGGGGGGAAATAAGATAGAACATAATAAATAAACATATCATAAGCAGACTTTTGAATTATTATGTTTATTTTCCTACATAATTACACAATAGTTATATATTGTTTTGTCTGTAAAATTTAAAAAATGTAAAATGTAACAAGAACATCACACACACAGAGAATACTTTGGAAGTCATGCCTTTATAACATGTAAGACTGTGTTCTTCTATTCTACTTTTCAAAATAGCCTTTCGTTCCGAAAATCCTGCATGTCCAGAGCCCAGAGCTTTCCAGATAATAGGCAAGATTTCTCAGGTGAGATATTATCTACACTGATAGTTGCTGGCAAATAAAAGGAACAAGCGAACTTTTCAGTAGTGTGTTTATTGCATTTGTTTTTTGCTAAGCAATATTCAAATGTACAGTTAGTACGTTTCCATCAGATGTTAACAACCATCTGTAATAGGATAACAGAGATAGTTGAAAAACTAAATCATGCCTGTATGTCTGATTCCTTTTTTACTGTAACAGATTGAATCTAGTGATTAAGAACCATTTTGGTCTAGTGGTTAATATACCAGACTAGAAAGTGAGAAATCTTTTAAGTTTTTTTTTTTAAGGGAGGTGTTTAAAAAGAGACTGGACAGCCTTTGTCTGAAATAAAATGGGGTCTCCTGCTTGAGCAGGGGGCTGGACTAGAAGACCTCCAAGGCCCCTTCCAACTTTTTTATTCTGTTTATTCTGACCTTCAAGTCCCACTTTAGCCATGAAAGCCAGGTGGGTGACTATGGGCATTGGATCAGTCACTCTCTGAGCAGGGTTGTTATTGTTGTGGAGAAAATAGGAGGAAGAAAGTGTGTTGGATAGAGTTCATTGCCTGGATGGATGGATGGGTAGATGGGTAGATGTGTGAAGCCTGAACTGCCCAGTGCCAGGCCTCCCACTTCACCTCCCATAAACCTCCTTTGGAGGCCTTCTTCCCATGGTAAAGTCAGTGGTTTCTCTTTTTTTTTCTCTTCATACCACCTGTGGCAAAATATATGTTTTTTGAAATTACCTCTGTGTGGGTGCATGTGTAATAGTGTAATTTTTGCTTCTTTATTGTAGATCGTGAGAATCAAATCTTTGATAAAGCTGAGAAAAGTGGGACTTACCCTCGGCGTTACCATGTCTCTATGCAGTATAAAGATTACAATGATGGTGGGTGTGCAGTCGCTTTTTAAACTTATTAATAGGATTACTATTTCACAACACATTGTAAGAGTTTTCTGCTTCATCAGTTGCCAACCCCTTTTCTCCCCTCATCTTTTTTTAAATAGCTTGAAAATAGGAGGAGGAGGAGGAGGAGGCAGCAGAGGAAAATGTACCAGCAAAACAAATTTGTGTCCTTGTTTTTACTTCATTAAATTTACTAAAAAAGAGAGAGACAGAAAGAGAGAGTTAGGAAAGGAGGACTGTGTTAATTCGAGATGTGGCACTCCTGACTGTTCCAGAGTTATAAGGGGTTGAAAAAAATACCTTATAAGCAACCTCTTTTTGCTATCTCTAAAACAGTGCTTATATTTGTAATGTATTGGGCAATTAAAAATTGATTCATAGATGATTCTGTGAGGAAACCCATTTTTAGCAGCAAAAAGACTTTGGTTTTCCTCTCCTTCTCTCCTTTACCTGCCAATATATATGGCACATTGTTCAGATTAGCATAAGATTAGTCTGCATACTCTTAAAGTAGATTTGTTCAGTGTGTGTTCATTTTTATTCTTCCTTGCAGAGAAAATAATCACATTTGATTTCTTGTACATTTCATTGAACTTCCGAAAGTTCAATGTTTCATTGAACTTTCAGATGTTAATCCCACCTTTGCTTTGTTGAATTAAGTCATTTGAGTGAAGTATTTAGCTTGTTTTCATGGTAGATCTTAACTATGCAGGCCGTAGAACATTTCCTCGCATTCGACGCCAACAGGGCAACCTCTTCACACTGGTACCATCAAGCCGTTCCTTAAGCACGAATGGGGAGAACCTTGGTCTGACGGTTCAGTATCTAGACACCTGTTGTCGTATGTGGAGTGCTGACAGTGAGAATGCACTCACTGTGCAGGAGAGGAACATCCCAACTAAATGTAAGTTGAGGCTTCCAAATTCAGGAATATTTATTAATTCTTTCAAAACGGACCATATTAAATATTTGGCATTAATGAACTATTAGGATTACCATCGAATGCTATGTCGCTTGCAATAATAGATGGGATTTTTTTAACAGAGCGAATAAAACACATAATAGAAGCTGCTCTACAGGTATACGATCTGGAAGAAAATAGAGAAATCCTCTTTTTTAACTTTTACAATGGAAATTTTGTATTATTAGAAAAGCAACATTTGTGTGAGGTGCTTTCTCTTTTGGAATAATGGATAGAAAGCTTTTTATGGAAAGGCTATGTTCATTAAAATTATATACTTTTGTTACTTGCTATGTGTTCTGTAGACTGAGAATGGAGAGTTTATTTCAACCATATTCCAGTGTGGGAAGGGGTTTTGAATAGCTAGGATAAAAAAAAATGTAAGGGTATTCCCTAAATAAATAGAACATTTGCCCAAATGCATTTATAACAGATAACAGATAATCAGGGTTGGAAGGGATTGTGTAGATCATCTAGTCCAACCCACTGCCCAACCAGGAGACCCTACACCATTTCTGACAGATGGAGTCCAATCTCTTCTTGAAAGTCTCAAGTGATGGCGCTCTCACAACTTCCAAAGGCAAGCTGTTCCATTGGTTGATTGTTCTCACTGTCAGAAAGTTTCTCCTTATTTCTTGGTTAAATCTCTCTTTGTTCAGTTTCCATCCATTATTCCTTGTCTGGCCTTCGGGTGCTTTAGAAAATAGCTTGACCCCTTCCTCCCTGTGGCAGCCCCTCAAATATTGGAACACTGCTACCATGTCTCTCCTGGTCCTTCTCTTTACTAGACTAGCCATGCCCAGTTCCTGTAACCGTTCTTCGTATGTTTTAGTCTCCAGTACCCTAATCATCCTGATTGCTCTTCTCTGCACTTTTTCTAGAGTCTCAACATCTTTTTTATAGTGTGGTGACCAAAAATGGATGCAGTACTCTAGGTGTGGTCTTACTAAGGCTTTATAGAGTGGCATTAGTACCTCACTTGATCTTGATTATATCCCTCTGTTAATGCAATTTAGGATTGCGTTAGTATTTTTGGCGGCGGCTGTACAATGCTGGCTCATATTTGGCTGGTTGTCCACTAAGATTCCAATCCTAAACTTGTCTGGGAGTAAATTTCATGAATTAAATTAGATTGGGCATTTCTGTTGCAGTAAACAATTATTTATAACTTATAAAATAACTTAACCTCAATCTGATACTTTCCAGATGTGGTGGATTATAATTCTCATTTTTGCAGTCACTGGCTGCGGATAGTGAAGGTTATTCTTCAGTGTATTTGGAATTCAATTTTGCAGTTGTTTTTCAATGCACCAAATTTCAGTAAGGTTAAATAAATTGCACAATTATTTACGTGAGCATTATAAAAATAGCTTTAAATTTGATAAAGAAATATTGCTAGATTTCAGTACTTTGCAAACTTTCAATTATTTCCAAGGGGAAATTTTGGAAGTTTACCTATGTGGATAAGTTTGTTTCTGTCTTTCTTGTTCATAATTAAGATCAGAATTTTCCTCTTTTTTTTCTAAGCAATCAAGAATGGCAGCTTAGTCGACCTTAGAAGCTTCTTTAAAGGCTACTGGTAATCATTAACAAGAGTGCCAAGATAGATCATCATTGATACGGTGTAACTGGTCTTTGGGGATGTTGGAATAGAAAATTTGTCAAATGCTGATGTGACTGTGTTCCTTGGAAGTAGCAAGTATCAATTAACTGCAGCATTATTTTAAGTTATGTATTTGCATGTCACAGTTTTCAGCTGAGATATTAGACTTTTGTAATTTACATATGGGAAACATTTTTATCTTTCTTACTACTATAGCAATTAAATTATCTGATATAAATCAGTATTGTTTATGCCATGGTTAGGATAGAATTATAATTGGAAAATGACTTGTATTTGACAGCTCCAAGTGCTCCAGTCAACTGGCGACGCGGGAAACTCCTAGGACAAGGTGCCTTTGGCCGGGTATACCTATGCTATGATGTAGATACAGGCAGAGAACTTGCAGCTAAACAGGTCCAGTTTGACCCAGACAGTCCCGAAACAAGCAAGGTATTTCCGTAGCTACTGATGTTAAAATGCCTCTGTATTCCTCAGTTTCCACTTTCCTGATCTATAATGGCAAACTTTGCAATCCAAGGGTGCAATTACTCATGGCACAATTAAGGCATTTACTTAGCATTTTTTAAATCAAATTTCTGGTTCGAATTACTGGCTTCTTAGTTCTCCTATCTGCCTCTCTTAGCAATGGCATTTAATCCTTTTTTCTCCTTGTACTTACTGATGCATTGAGAGCAGAATAAAACAATGCTGCAGTGTTGCTTAAGAGTTTGTGAACTCTCTCTGAATTTTCAATATTTCTGCATAAATATGAGCTAAAACGCAACTTATGAGTCATCCAAGTGGTAAAACTAGATGAAGAGAACCCAATTAAACGAATGAATCAAAACATGATATTTTTTCATGTATTTATTGAGGCAAATTATCCAAAACCGCGTATTTGAGGAGGGAAGGGGGTTCAAAATTAAAAAGGGTTCACAAACTTTTAAGCCCCACTTGCACGTTGACTTGCATCTGATTATTGTGTTCTAACCCCAGGCCTCCTGTGGTTAGAGAGATAGAGACAAGGTAACAGTTTGCTTAGGAAAGAAATGCAATACAAAGTGTAAGGAGATTTGTAGGTTTTTTCTCTTTTAAATTTTTTATTAGTTATCAAAATAACTAATAAATACAAAATACCCTAAAAATGAAAATAATGGAAAAGTAAATGAAGAAAAGGGGAAGAGAAAATGGAAGTCTAGGATAAAAGATGCAATAGAATAAGAGAACATATAGCCTCAACTTTTTGTTTTTTCATAGCAACATCCACTAGCCATTTCTATAACAAAAATCTGTCTAATCAGCAAAACCCAAAGTCGAAGTTTCAATTTTTTTTCCATCTCAAGCACAAAGTGTAGAAGTGGTTTCCAGGAGGAAACAAAGTTAGCTGTGTTTTTTTTTTCTTTAATTAAAGCAGTCAATTTAGCCATCTCTGTTAACTCCATCAGCTTTTGCAACCAGTCATCCATTATAGGAATCAAAGTATCTTTCCATCTTTGTGCATAGGTCATTCTTTTTTTTTTTATAAAATTTTTATTGATTTTTAAAAACAAACATAAACAAACAAAACATAAAACTGCTTTTGAAAGCAGCTTGATCCCAGGTTACATCTCTTCATACAGATACAAATTCAAATTCATGTTCATTTTATATACCATTCCATATCTTATTACCATTCTACATTTTCTATATAGCTTCTCCCCTCTTTTAACTTTCTTAATTTTATTTTATTTATTTCATCTTAATTCAGATCATTATACTTATATTCTTTGTCTGTCCTGTTTCCAGCTGTCTATTATCTTTTCTCATTATACAAAATTTCTCCTGTAATCACTGATTGGAGTATGACGCCTTTATATCTTTCCCCTAAATTTATAACACTTAGTATAATACATAACTTCCATTCGGATTCTGCTTAGTACATTCTAAAGTTACACACTATATTTTAAAAAGAGAAAAAATTATAAATATATAATTAAAACAACAATCCATACCAATTCAAATCTATTGTTAGTATTAGTATTCATTTAAATCTTAAACATTTTACACATTACTTTTCAAATAAGTATCATACTTCTATGGGAACACTTATAAACTTTCCATAGTTACTCCCCCCCCCCTTCAGTCATATTTTAAAACATTATATCATTAAAATGTTCCCATTCCTTCCTAGTTCAATTCTCTCATTTATTTCATTTCATTTATTTTGTTCACAAAAGTTTCACTGAATTACACTATTTTATCCCATTTTTTAATCATATGTTGTTTCCAATTTTCTAACATTATTTCTATTACAAATATAACAATACAATCTTATGTACCTTTGCAGAATCACTTTTTCAGTTAAATTTTTACCCATTATCTCTAAATAAGTCCTGTTTCTTTACATCTTGCTCCACACCTTTGTAGCTTCTCTTCCCTTCCTTCCTCCCTTGCTTCTTCTCTCTGCCCTTTTTACCCCCTTGTCTCTCCACCTCCATTTCCCTCTTCTGTGTTCCACTTTTCTGTTGCTTTCTAACATATCCACTTTTCACCTTATTTTTCCCTTTTTTGGTTGTTTTTTTGGGTCTTAAAGTCTCCATTCTCTTTTCCCCCTTCTTTCCTAAGTAAAGTTACTTGTTTGTCAAAGATGGCTTCTTCTTTGTCCCAATCTTCTTGTTGCGCAGTCTTTTCTTGTAGTTTCTCATAGGTACAAATCGCCATTTCTAAGAATTGAAAAACGGAGCCAAGAGAGCCCTTCCCTTCTTGTTCTTCTTCTTTATATTTTTTAAATTCCATTTTCAGTTCATCCACAAGTGATGCCATTGTAAAAAAAAATTCCAACAACCACCCAAGTGTTTTTAGTCATTCAAATATAATTTCCAAAAGTCCCAAAGTCACCAAGCAATCAAAATATACACAAGCTGTTTCTTTTAACACTTTCTTCTTTTTTCACTTTCTCTTCATGGGGTTACTATTTAGTTACAAAGTTCCAGTTAAGATGTATCTTTTAGAAGTCTTGTTAGAATTTAATCAGATTCTTTTAAATTCCAGGCAGTCTCCTCCTTTCAAATCCTACTCTTATTCTTTTCCTCTCCCTTCCCACTTACAGCAAAAAAAAATTTTTTTTAATATTCAGAAATCCTTATTGTCCCCTTGACATTTAATTATCCAGTTTAATTACCTCTTGATGGCAAAGTGGGTTTTTCCGATTTCTCATTCATCTCTGTTCGCTGTCAACGTAAGGAAGGAGAGTGAAAGAAAAAAAACTTTCCCTTTTCACTTTCATTCGCTGCTTCCGAATCTTCTTTGGGAGCGATGTATCTTTTTTAAAATTTAAATTCCAGGATACCTTGGTTGTTGCTTCTTATCCCGGTCAGCCAAAACTTTCACTTCTTAACTTCCTCCTGCACTTTCTTTTCCGGATGAGAGCTTCTTTGAGGCGGCCATTTCTGACCGCCACTCGTTCGCCTTTGGGAAAGGGAGTTTAGCCAGCTGGGGAGGAAAGATGCGGCTTTCCTCGACCCTGCTGGGATCTCCCCCCTCTTTGCCACCTGTACGGGGTGGCTTAGCCCCGAAGCCAGACTGGCTCGGGACGCTCCAGCGGCGAGGCCAGGCAGAAACCGCGCACGATCGGGGATTCCTGCCTGCCGCCGAAGCCCTGCAAACCGGAACCGTGCATAGGTCATTCTTGTTGCTATCAGCATCTATAACATTAAAGTTCCATCCCCGCCCCCTTTGTCCATTAAGCTTAAGAGAAAAGCCTCTGGCTTTACCTTTATGTTCACTTTAAGTATTAAGATGTGAATCGTACTGTAATATATCTTTGCTTTGTCTCAGACCCACCATAGAAGTTCCTTCTTTACATTTACATTTGAAATACCTATGTACCTATATAAATTTTGACAATTTATTCAGTGTTAAATACCAGTGGTATTTAATCATTTTATTTAAAAAAAACTTTAAAATTATAATTTAATGTAAATTTTAAAACCTTTCTCCATATATTTTCCAATTGTTCAAACATTATATTCAAAAAATGCCCATTCAATCCTACAATGTTTCATGTAGTCATTCCAATTTCAATAACAGTTTATAAACATTAGTAGTTATGTGCTCATCATTACCACATAGTAGTTTCCAATTTATTTTTCGCGAAGGCAAATCCATAACTTTTAAAATCTAATTTAAACCTTTCTTGAATTGTAAATATGTAAACCAATGACAGACAAATTTGTTGTAGCTTTTAATCCATGCTTTGATGGTGACTTGGTAGTCTCCACAAAAATAATAATTTAATGTCTTTATCTCTTGCAGGTCTGTTTTCTTTGCTTGATCTTATTTAAAGCAACCTTGCTCCAGGGCTGAACAGTGTAGCTATAGAGAGGGTAACATTTTTATACTGGCATATCTAACCAGTATAAACATGATGTTGAGATCTAGGATTATGATTTATTATACCCAGAGAAGCCAGCATCATAGTTCTATCTTTATGATAAAGTGTGTGGTTATAAATCCTGATTTATTGGGCACAATACTATATACTAGACTCATATATAGAGATGGCAGAAAAACAGGAGAGAAAAGCTTGCATGTATCCGATAACATTCTGATTTATTAAGACATAAACAGTATTTTCAATAAGGTACCCACACAACCGTTATGTCCTAAAGATTTTTCTTTATTTATTCAACTTTATTAAGTTTCAAAGAGACATAAAATACAAAAGAAAAAGAAAAATTGAGGGGAGGAAGGAACACAAAACTGTCCCTAAAGATTTTTCTGAAGTTTAGGGTATTTCTAAAATGAAATCTAAGAATTTCTAAATTTCATTCTGCCTTGTGGTGATATTGTTAATGCCTACTGTTAGTATAGTATAAACTTTCATTAGAATGTAATGTTCCTCCATTTTTAAAATGAAAACTTATCTGCAGAGAAATAATTGGGTTGTAATTTTTTTACTAGTAGGCTTGATAGAATCTGAAAACAGCAAACACATCACAAAAAAGTACTCCAACATCTGTCTATCACACACATATATATAGTCATTAGTCATTAATGTCTACTGCTTCTTAAATATCAGCTACAACACATTTGCATAAAGTGAGTAAATTGTATTTTGTGAACTTTCAGGCTTAATTGATTGACTGAAAAATCTATGTAGTTTAGCAATTGGATAGTGTGAATCAGCATGGGAATAGATGAATGACATCTTATGCCATTCAGAAATTAGAATGCAAAGTTTAATGTTGCAGCAACTACCTAAAAATTACCACTTTTGCAGTTATATTATAGACTCTCCTCTTTGTGGAATTGGATTTAAGGTTTTATGTCAGATATGTCAGTTATTGTCCTTTAAAAATAGCAATATTATTATATTTAATTTCAAATGTGTAGGAGTGTGGAGAGAGAAGATGAAGTCTCATGACCCATCATTTATTAGGTTAGGTTGCCTAAATTTTACCTCCACTAAAAAGTGGCATTTATGTGGAGGTCACTGTCCTATGTCTTTCTCAAGGTAATCTGGCAATTCTTATGCCTGTAGGAAGTGAGTGCATTGGAATGTGAGATTCAGCTACTGAAGAACCTTCAGCATGAGCGGATTGTTCAGTATTATGGATGTTTAAGAGACCGAGCAGAAAAGACCCTGAGCATTTTCATGGAGTACATGCCAGGGGTAAGAGTTCTATGGATTCTTTAGAAAGTGGTTTTAATCCATCTCAGATTTAAGTAGGATACAGAGTTCGTTACTTTTTAATTCCCTTCAATTTTGTTAGAAAGCCAGTTTTGTGTAATGATGAAAGGCACCTGGCTAGAAACCTGGAAACCTGTCTTATGCTCCAAGGCAACTGGTGACTTTGAGCCAGTCATTCTCTGTCCTGAGAAAAAGGCAACAGCAAACCACAGCCAAAAAAAACCTTGCTAAGAGCAGTAGATGAACTAGGTACCAGGTAGTCACTAGGAATCAAAACTGACTTGGAGGCACAAATATATAGATGTAAATATATATATTTATATATACATTTCCTGCTTTTCCTGTGAAGGGTTCTGTCAAAGATCAGCTGAAAGCCTATGGTGCACTAACGGAAAATGTTACTCGAAAATACACTCGGCAGATTCTTGAAGGAGTCTGTTATCTTCACAGCAACATGATTGTACACAGAGATATTAAAGGTAAGAGATTCACCAAAATCCACCTGGGTTCATGTGTTCTATTATGCTTATTTATGTCATAGATGAAAGGAAATATCTCTTATCTATGGTAAATATTAGCTATGTGTTTTCAAGGTAGCATTCGTATCAGTATCCTAACACTGTTCAATAAATGAACAAATGCTATTAACAATAGATTAGATGGTATTGAATTCATGTGCGTATAATTCTCTCCAAAATGTATTTACTGGTATACTTAAAAAGTCATGAATTGGCATTACAAAATAACTTGGTTTTACTTATGGGGAAAACAACAACTATATTTTTTGCGGCACTTTAATCACATTGAGAAATGACAAATTGAAGACATGTTGACTAGATCAAGGAACAGTGCAAACATGGTGACAAGATCTGAAAATAGAATTATGAATGCAATAAGGAATGAAACTTATCTTTTCCTCTTGTACGTTTATTAGTCAAAATCCTCCATTCTTTACACAGTCACTATTCTTTGTTTCTAAAAGTATACTTTGCAGTGAATAGTGTCTAAAGGACAAGAAATAACATAACATATTGTTTTCACTTGGAAAACTACAGGAGGCATTATTTTTCATGCTATAATCTCAAACTAGATTTGGGGTTATTAAAAATGTCAGCTTTAAAGTGTAACAAGTACATCTCTTGATATATTTTACTCATCTGACATTTTAATTTTTTTTTTTAGAGGATAGGAACATAGTTACGGTTGGAAAATGAAAGTGGTTGACAATTGCACTCTTGGGGCGGGGGGGGGACAAAACCAAGCTGGAGCATTGGCAAGGAGCATGTGGAAGAGGGAAAGGGGTCTAAAGAATATGGTAGAGAACATCTCATCAGCTTTCTTTAGTGTTTTGGGACTGGCTACAATAGTCACTGCAGCTATTTTATGATTAGCTAAGTTAAACCTTTGGAAAGACATTTTGTTAAAGTAAAAACCAACATTTAAGGATTAAATATTTCCACTAATTTAAAAAGATTGGTTATGCAGTGTGATGTTCTGTGAGTCACAGTATGCAGTAATGGACTGAGAAAATGATGGTTTGGATGTATCTTTAAAAAGAAAACTCTTCATCTTTAGAATTTAAGATTGCAAGGTGGCTCAGTGACATGATAATTTGTGAGCAGCTCAAGTCATTTTAAACAAGGTTCTAGCTGTGAAGGTTTATAAATCTATACTTAAGAGTTGTATGCTTGAACAGCTTCTACTTCTTCTTCTCCTCCTCCTCCTCCGTCTCTACACCCACTTCAACCCAGGAGCCAATATTCTCAGAGATTCTGTGGGCAACGTGAAGCTTGGAGACTTCGGGGCTAGCAAGCGGCTGCAGACAATCTGCATGTCTGGCACTGGCATCCGCTCTGTCACGGGCACTCCTTACTGGATGAGTCCGGAAGTGATCAGTGGAGAGGGCTATGGAAGAAAAGCTGACATCTGGTGAGAAATAGCTTTGTGCAGCTTGTTTAATGTAAAGGATTACCTTTCTAGAAAAGGAATTTTTCTGCCACAATATTTCTGAACCAGTTAGCATTTTATTAATCTTTTTTTCCTGTGAACTATAATAAGTTCACCAGGCTAATTTATTGTTCCCCTCTCCCCCTTTTCCCCCCTACTCTTTTCCCCCTACACTTTTCAACGTGCTGTGTTCCTGGATGTTGCTTTTTGTTTTCTGCACAACTTTGCTTTCTTTTGTAATAGCTCAGAAATCATCCACGCATGCTGATGTATCCCCCACCCTTCTGGATTCGCAATGGCTAATTCTGTCAGCACTCAACCAGCTTACTGTATATACTCGAGTATAAGCCTAGTTTTTCAGCCCATTTTTTGTGCTGAAAAAATCCCCCTCGGCTTATACTCGAGTCAGATTCCCCTCTGAAAAAAAATGGTGTGGAGTCGCGGCCTCCGGCGGCAGCGACTCCCAACAGCCCCAGCCAGGAAGGGAAAGGCAAAAAGCGTTTTGCCTTTCCCTTCCCGAGGCGGCGGGACTGGGGCCGCTCCGGCGGCAGCGACTCCCAACAGCCCCAGCCGGGAAGGGAAAGGCAAAAAGCGCTTTGCCTTTCCCTTCCCGAGGCGGCGGGACTGGGGCCGCGCCGGCGGTAGTGACTCCTGACTCAGGGGGCCTCCGAGGGAGGGGAAGAGAGTGACTCCTGCCTCCCGCTGTCATTATCATCATCTTCTTTTGGGTTAGTGAATCAGTTAAACCTTTCATGATAGTGAGATCGTTTCCCAAATTAATTATTTTTATTTTTGAAATTTACCAGTAGCTGCTGCATTTCCCACCCTCGGCTTATACTCGAGTCAATAAGTTTTCCCAGTTTTTTTGTGTAAAATTAGGTGCCTCGGCTTATATTCGGGTCGACTTATACTCGAGTATATACGGTATTTTTGGAAGATGCTGATAAGAATTGCTATAACCTTCTGTGTAATTGTCGAGCTTAAACTTGACTGTTTTTTAAATCACTAAAGCATATTATCTTATCGAAACTTTTTCTGGATGGTTACTTTTGAAACAAGAATCTCCTATAACCCTATCAGATAAAAAGAGAGAGATATTAAAACAGCAGGAACAACAACTCTTGGCTAGTGTCCTCCAAATCTCTAAATAATAAATGTGTCATGGAGTTGCAGAGATGGACAGGAATGTTTGCTTCTTGTTTTCTCTCAGTATCCAAGCACAAAAGATTCCACACTAAAAAAGCAGAACAGGCCATGTTTTAATAAATCAGTCTTTAGGAGCAGTAAGAAGCATGGTGGTGATACGATCATGGCACAGAAGGGTCAGCCATAATAAATTGTTTCAGGGAATCAAGCTGATGATGATAAATAAAATTGATTTATTAAATGTAACATGCGTAAGAAGAAAAGCAAAGATTTAGAAATGTGGTAATCTCATGAATGAAAGTTGCCAAAAAGGAGGAGGACTGCATGCAATCACAGGTTGCCCATTATAAATTGTATTTTTTATAGTCTATTATTCCAAAAGCCTGCAAGCTTTCTAGTACTATATTTCTTCTGTTGGTTTCAATTGATTGGGGACAGCTGCTTTAAAATAATTCAATATAACCTGTTAAACTATGATGTGTCAAAATACAGTTTCTGTATTCACTGATCAAACATGGCAAGCAAGCTTGTCATTATCATAAGGCATCTGCAGCATAACAAGTTGTAATTAACTTTTTATTAGCTTTCTGGGTCAGCAATTAGGACATAATGGGTCCTAATTTGTTAAAGTAAACACCAACATTCAAGGATCTAATATTTCACTAATCAAAAAGCAATGCAATGTCAACTTTATGCAATGTCGTGTGCTGTGGGTCATATTTTTACAGAAGAAATCCATTGTTGGTGTGCTTTTAATAAAAGAGTTGGTGTGCTTTTAATAAAAGATATATTAGGAATGTCTTTCCTGTGCAATAATTTTTCTCATGGTTTAAAGAAGTTCTTTAGACAAAGAATAAATTTAAAAAAACAGCTTCATAACACAATGTGCACTCATGTATGTATTTGTACTATTGAGTAGCATTTGTTTACAGCATCTTTATAAAGTTATTTTTTTTTAAGATAAAGTAAGTTAGAAGATAAATCACTTTTATTGATCTGTGTTAGAATACTTCATTCATAAAACTTCTCCTTCAAGAAGGCTTGCATTACTGGCCTGTATTCATACTTTTCTGGAAGTCTGCCATATGAACAGTTTCGGCTCATTTAATTGTGACCAGCACTTCTGATCCTTCTGGTCCTGTTTATTTCTGCTTCTGTAACAAACACCATTCTTGTGCCTCCTTTGATTTTACTGACTGTAGTCTTAACTTTTTATCAGGGTCTTTTTCTACCTTCCCTGTTTCTTTTCCTTCAGCATTTCATTTGGCTACACTCTAGGACAGTGATGGCTAACCTATGACAGGCGTGTCACTCGTGACACGCTGAGGCACTTTGACTGACACGCCTGTTGGTGTGGGGAAAACCTGCACATTTAGAGGCTGCCTGTGCTCTGCTCCAATCCCTGCTCCCTGCTTGTTGCGTGGAGGCGTGGTGTCACCACTGCCGCAAGATCTTTGCAGCAGAGAACCAGTTTTAACCGCCATAAACTGAGGTTTGTCAGTTTCATTACCTCAGGAACGCTACAGGAGGAAAGGAGAAACATGAGGTTCACAGCCCTGTAAGGTGGCCTTCCGATCCCCACATCCTGCACCTGCAGCCCTGAGACCAGGGAGACGAGTTTCACAGCCCTGTGTGATTACCCCAGCCCAGTCCGTCATAAACCAAATAATTGATATTTCTTGAAGTGACACACGACCCGAGGAAGGCTACACTTTTTCCCGATTTTTGACACACCAAGCTGAAAAGGTTAGCCATCACTGCTCTAGGATCTTCAATGCACATCTTTATTTACGTTTTAAGATCAAACAAAATTTTTGTAAAATACAGTTAAATAGTCTATGACAATCTGTCCCATCTAAAATGTTAAATAGTCTGTTTCATGTTTTCAAAGCAGCACAACACAAGTAAACTATCCTGAGAATTATGTGATATTTCACATCTGAAAGTAGCAAAATAGTTTAATTTTCTTCTAATCTGCTTGGAAAATCCAGCAGTACAGGGCTAATGTATTTTAAATGCAAGTACTTCTAGGAAAGGCAATATAATAAAATGAAGTTTATTGTTTCAGTTTTCCCCAATTCTCATGGGCAAGCTCTCTTGTCCAGGGGAAATTTAAAATATTTATCTTTTAAAAATGCAAATGGAAGAACATTGTATCTAGCTATAAATAATGTTTCTTATAGTTCTGGAACAGTGAGTGTGATTAGTTTATTGGTTCCAGGTAAAAATTTTAAACAAAGCTTTCTGTGGTAATCCTATTTACTTCATTTTAGTGTTCCATATCCTTGACCCTTTGCAGGAGATATTGATTAGCCAAGTCATACCCAGGAGAGGTAAACAACTCTATCAAAAACCCATATGATAGCAATGTCATATCATTTTGGCTTTCCATTTTCAAAAATGTTTATCTGCCAAAACTAACAGGACTAAACCTGAAAGGAATCAATGGAACTTGAGCCAATAAGTGTCTGTTTCCAAGACCTTGCTGTTCTTCTAGGCATTCCATTGCCTCGTCTAGTTGCCTAGGATATACATCTAGGAGCAGAAAGAATACCATTTAGTTGCATTGTCTCGATTTTCTTTTGTATGCATGTAAACGCCATTAAAAAATAGGGTTAATTGTTTTGCTGAAAGATTTAAAATTGCTGAGATTAATTTTCCTCCTTTAGAGAAGATTTTTAAATATGCCATTTTATTAATTTACTAGTTGTTGAGGTTTAGCCAATGAGCATCCAAGTATTCTTTACTTAATAATTTTTTTAAAAAAAAAGATCAGAGCCTTCCAAATCTTCATATGGTGAAAAGTTATTCCCAATATTTGACATTCTGGATCTAGTTAATTTCGTTTCTTTCAGTAATCCATCTCTATGGCTTTATTGTGCCATAATTTCTGGTTTTATAAAATTAATATCCGCTAGTCCAATCTCCCTTCAATATTGGACTATTAACTTTTATGGTTCTCTTAAGGCTAATTAGGATATATGAATAAATTACTTCATCAATGTACAGCAAGATGGGAATGTTGAGGCCTGAAAGTGAGGGACAATGAAAATCTGGCTTATCTAAGGCTTCAGTTAATATAGAAGTCAATAGGTGCCAACGTGCATCCTAGTTTAAACACTTTCAGGATAGATATTTATTTTGAAATAACTTTTTATGGGTTACATTTCACAATGAGTGCTAGCATGGATGAGCAAATATTTATTTAGTATATTTATAAACAAGTTCATATAGCTGTCCCTCTCACTGAAGGTGACTCTGAGAGGAGCACAACAAACAGGTAAAACTACATACAAAATCACAGATATAAAGAATAAAAATCAAATAGAAAATAGCAATAATTATATAACCAGATATACAAAATCTTGGCAAAGATGGAATAAAAACATTGTGTGAGTACAGCAGTGGAGTCATCTAAGCATGTCTCTGGTTCCTGGGAGCCTCAGGTCTGTTCAGATAGTCTGGTATTGAGACCCTTTCAGAATATAATATGGATGGAGCCAATCTAATTTTGGAAAGGAATAATGTTTCATAAGGCAGGCACTATAGCAGAGAAGGCATATCTCTGACCCACCAAACGTAGGTCCTTAGCTGATTGTACCTGCAGCATAGGCCTCCTGCCACTTGTTTATTGATCAGGGATCGTGAGTCTAGGAAGATCTCCAAGTTGCACATAGGATCTGTGTATGTGTGTAACACAATCCAGTACCAAAGATGGCATAGTCATTGAAACAATGAGTCCCAAAATCTAGCCATTCACTCTTGCCAAACCACCCAGATCTTCACAATCTCCAAACATTAGGATAAGACCATTCACAGCTTCACTTTATTTGCCAGGGTGGAGATACAGAATTGTGTATCATATGTGTACTGATGATATCTCACCCAGTGGGATGGGTGAGTTCACTCAGCAACCACACATAGATGTTTATGAGGGATAGGACAAAATACCAAACCTTGGGGCCATTCCAGAAAGCAGAAGTTGAAGGAGGGTCCTCTCCTTCCCAATCATCACTAACTGGAATCAACCCAGAAGGAAAGAGGCAAATCAGCACAACAATATGTCGTTTACCCCAAATCTTCTGAACTGATCCAGAAGGGTACCATGGTCAATGGTATCAAAAGCTGCTAAGGCTTCAAGTAGGTCACGGATACATGAACCCCATCCCATCTAAACTAGAGGTCATTCAAAAATGCAAGCAGTGCTGTTTTTGTCCATACCCAGGTCTTAATCATGACTGAAAGGGATGTAGATAATTCACTTCTTCCAAGGTCTTCTGCTGCACAATTACCTTTCCCCCAAAATAGAGGTGATAGTACTGAATGAAAATTGTCTGGTATGGTAGGGTTCAGCAATTGCTTCTTGAAGAAGGGGTGAATCAAGGCCTCTAAGAGGTAAAAGAACAATCCCTTCCCTCAAGAATTAATCATTGCCACAACCCACTCACACTGCACCTTACCTCTGGACCACTTTAACAAGGCAGGACAGGCATGGATCTAAAGGCCTGGGGTGGGAGTGGGGGGGGGGGCAGTCTGTCTACTCATAGTCCTGTCTACTTCCTCAGGTCCTACACGTTGCTTGTTTATTAAATGTATATGCTATCCATCTTGTCTAGAGGTAATTCTAGGCAGCTTATAACAAACTAAAAGCAGCAAGATAAAACATTAAAAGGTTTTTTTAAAATATTAACATTAAAATTGACTTAGAATTAACAAAGAGGGCAAGAAAGGGAGCAAGATGCACACAGGGTAGAAAAAAGTATTATCTCTATCTATTAACCGCTTCCAAAATAACACACTCCGATCGGGGGCCTGAGGCCAATTTGCAGAGTAAGGTTTTCAGGTCCTTTTAGAAGGTCGAAAGGGTGGGATCAGATTTCACCTCCGGAAGCATCATGTTCCAAAGAGCAGGAGCCACAGTAGAAAAGATTCTTCTCCTAGACCCTGCTAGCCAGAATTCACATTTTACTGGCACAGGTGAGGCGAGCCAATCCCAATTTCATGTAATAAAATGGAGCAATAGTGCTTTCTTACTTAATTTCTGGAGGTACTGGCAATGCAGTATATAGATGTATAGACATGGATACTGATACATTCAATCTGAATTCCTTGTAATTAATTCAGTGAGTGCTTTTTTCGGTTTTCAGAGAATCAAGAAATTCAGTGGCTTCTGTTACGCTTACTACTGGCCAAATAAGGAGAATGAATCATTGTCCAATTCCTTAGTAGATGCTTCAGGATTGAAGAATGTGCTCAAAAATATCCCGCCCACCTTCATATTGGAGTAGCACTTATGCTAAACACACCAAAATAGTTCAGTACATCCCAGCACAATGCAGATGATGCTGCCCAAGTCTCTGACTGGAAATAACATATTGAAGTCTTATTCTTGGTTATGATCCTCCAAGATCTCAGCAGAGGTTCAGGCCTTTATTGAAGATTTTCTCTGCAAGTTGATTTTTTTTTTAAATAGTAAAGTATATAACAAGTCAAATCATAGTACAGTTCAGGAAAAAAAAGTCGGTGCCTTATATCCATTTTTAGCTTTTAGGATCTGAACTTAACATTTTACATCACTATTCCAAAATGTTGAATGACTTCATTCCTATTCAATTTTGCAGCACTAAAAAGGATGCCAAACTTGGTTGTTTGAAATAACACCTGCTCCTTTCCTCAGTTCCAAGCAACACAGACCTGTAGTCCCAAGAGAATAAATCATAGGTGTGGCAGTGGTATTGGGTCATCTCAGAATCTTCAGCATTAAGATACATTTTTACACAGATGGTTGGCTTCAGGTTGACTCAGTTTTTACAAACAACATTTTCACATGCCTACACTTCTTTCTCTACTCTGGATTTCTTTGTAAATTGGGGCAGGTTCAACTTCTGTTCCGTACAATGCCTTCTTTTATAGAAGTGATATTGGGTTCATTATGTTGCTAGACATTCTCACCCAAGGAGTGAATAAAGATAATTGTAGCCATACCTCTTGCATGCTGCTGCTAATTCATAATTTGAATGAAATGTCTTCAAAATCTCATGGCCTTGATTGACCTTTACATGTCAGGCTCCCACCCCACCCCACCCCCAGTAAATCAGATATTAGAATTAGATGCACTTTATTATAAGGCTTCAGCACTAGGACCTTAAAAGTCTGATGGTACTGATCTGCCATTCTTTTTACAGCCTGACTGGTTAGATAGGTTCCCTTGTGAGTTTTTCCTGGCTCATTATGCAGCTCTTATGCAGTGCAGTGGTTAGAATGAAGAAATGCAGCCTACTTCTGCTGGCTGCTGGCTGCAGTTCAGCAGTTCCGTTCTAACCAGGCTCGAGGTTAACTCAGCCTTCCATTCTTCCGAGGTGGGTAAAATGAGGACCCAGATGGTTGGGGGCAATGTACCGACTCTGTAAACCGCTTGGAGAGAGCTGTAAAGCACCGTGAAGCGGTATAAGTGCTACTGCTATGAGGCTATACCAGGGTCCCCAGGCCGCAGCCCACCACCCGGCCTTGAGCCGTTCAGAAGCAGACCACGGAAGTGGCAGGCTAGTGCGTGCGTGCACAAGTGCAGGCATACACGCTCCATTTGGGCAAACAGGTTTAGGAACTCTGGGCTATACTATGTTTTTTCCTGATTATTTCTTAGACAGTATCTCTTTTCCCATCTCCCAAGTAATTACTATATATCATTACACTCATCTGATTCCTTTCACATTATATATATAACTTCAAGTACTGATTTGTCAGGATCTTCATTACCGCTCAAATCTGATCAGATGTTACTTCTTGTTCTCTGCCTCTGGCGGATGTATCATAGTAAACACATGCATCTGAATCCACAAAATATTCAAAAGTATTTATAATTACAGATAAACAATCTACGGATTTGTGGAGATATCAAAATTACTCTGGAATTATGCAGAGCAGATTTTGACTACCTCTGTGCCATTTCATGACTATGGTTATACCCATCTCAGTATTTTTCAAGACTAGATTTCCTTTAATTTTTGTACATGCTACAATAATAATAATAGAACAGAATTAGAATTAGAATAAAAATAGAACTAGGACTGGGAGAAGAGGAGAGGAGGAGAGGAAAATAGAAGAATAGAATAGCTTTATTGACATGCAAAGCAACAGAAAAATAATTATATTAATGATACTAATAAGGGAGTAGTAAAAGCTTGGGAAGAATAATACTACTACGGCTGTCATACAACATGGATAAATATACTTAGACATTAAACAGCACTGTGAGAATTAGGTGTTCAGCAGAATAAAGAATGAGGGAAGAAACTATCTCTATGTCTAGTTGTTTTGGTATGCAACGCCCTATAGCTGGGGGGGAGAAGCTGAAACAGTTTATATCAAAGATGTGAGAGTCCTGTAGATATTTTATCAGCCCTCCTTCTGACCCGCACAATATACAGGTCTTCTGTGGAAGGCAAACTGGTTGCACTTCTTTTTTTCTGGAGTCCTAACTATCTGTTAAGTGTCTGTAATGGGTTAAATGCCGTTATGAGAAAATAAAAAAGCCAGCTACTCTAGAGATACCTTTTTAGTATCTTTTTGTATTGGAATAATGATTATAGTGAGTTACAATGGGACCTTTCACTAAGTGTGACTTTGAACTCTTTTTCCTGTGTTTTCTCCTCCCAGGAGCCTTGCCTGTACTGTTGTGGAAATGTTAACTGAGAAACCACCCTGGGCAGAATATGAAGCTATGGCAGCCATTTTCAAGATTGCTACACAGCCTACTAACCCCCAGCTTCCTACTCATATATCAGAACCTTGCCGGGACTTCTTAAGGCAGATCTTTGTGGAAGCCAGGAAGAGACCTTCAGCTGAAGAGTTGCTCCAGCATCATTTTGCCCAGCTCTCCTACTGAATTACTGCCTCTGATTCCATTTTTAGATGATACTGTTGTCTGAAGTGTTGTGGCCTATATCAGAGAGTCCACTCCAAAACGTTGGCAGATGGACATTCTGTTTGCCTAGTAAGATAGCGTGTACAAGGGCAATGCAAAAGTCAGCCAGTTTCATTTTGGTATCTTCATTCTGAGGGATTGATGCTTTCTCTGTCACTACCCATGTGGTGACATGGTATTTGGCACGTGGCTAGGAACAATCTCAAATGCTTCATTTGACTATAGATCCATCTCTGAAACTTGGGGAAATGAAAAAGGATGAAATGGGCTCTTGAGAATGGCTAAAAGCTACAAAAATGTGTATTGGGCTCATATTACCACTGTTTTGACAGCTTTTCAGGTTGCAGGGTGTTGTTTCTCCTTCTCTTTAGCCCTCCCCTCTATCCATGTTTCTGGATAACGGGAGTGGGGAGGAGATTCCCATGGATCAAATGTACAATGGAATCTAGATGGAATAAAGGTTCCCTGAATGAAATAAGGAAATCGAGTTCCATTCTGGCAGTTGTCTAAAGGTGCAATGCAGAACTGTGTGTTCTGTGTCTATGTAGTGATCACGGGCTAACTCAATTTTTGTCTAGGAAAAAAAAAAATCAGTATTGTGGGGCTTGACACTTTTAACTTCTATTTTTTTAAAGCAGTCTAGGCATTATTGCATTAGACTAGGAATTCATATGGGAGATATTAAGAATTTTTTGAAATTAACAGGGAGCTGAGCAAGGCATGGTGCTCCTTCTATGAATGTCAAAAGTCAGTAAATAAAATGAGGAATGTATATGGAATTTTACATTAATTGCAGAATTTATCCAGATTGTAGAATGTGCCCATTTTATGGATTGTATTGCACAGGATATCATGCAATAAATAGATTGTGGTGAGGACTATTGTGAGGAAGCATGGTATCAATGTGCTGCCTTTAGATGGCTGTTAGTTGGATAAAATATTTCCTTCTACACAGTTAAGATATTATGCTACAGTTATAATTGACATGAAAATATCTCAATTACTGTGAAACATTCAGTCTCGTATACCTCCATTCGATAGCTTCATCCATCCAAATCTCTTTCACGGGATAACCTCCCCCCAAAAAAGTTTCTAACCAAAGATTATTTCATTGCTGCCAAGATCAGTCTTCAAGGAGAAGCAAGGTATTACTGCTAAGCCTAGACAGGATTGTTCATACTGAACAGAACTACCTTTTCCAGGTGCTTGTAATGGAAAAATTGGGGCAAGGAGAAGTGATATTACTCATCTGTCTTTATACATTCTGGGTTTTCTGCATTCTGGGTTTTCTGCATGCTTTTCTGGTCTTTAGAAGAATAGCTTCTAAAGTTTGAGACCATCTTTTCCCATAGTTCTGCAGAGCTGAAGTTTGTTAATCTTGATTATTTTCTAAGAAACTTTGTTTTTTTTTCTTTAAGAGGCACTTCTATCAGATTTAATTGAGTACAATCAGAGAGCAAACTTCTTGATCTCTCAAATGTTTGGTTGCCAACAGCATACCTTTATTATATAAAATGTTGGATTAGAACCACTCAGACAGGACCTCTATGAGATCTATGAGTATCTCCGTTATTCATTATGTAGCAAATCATGTACACTCCAGGAGCGTTAAAAAGGATTCTGCTTTGCAAACAGCATTCTGCCACTTGTGATACTTCAGGTGTTTGCTGTTAACCTTGCAAAGATATATATATTAATCTACCCTTGCTCTAGCCACCCATTTGTCAAGTGTTTGCACCTCTGCAAAACTGAGATTCAGTCTCATCTGTCACTTTATACAAAGTTGCATGTGGTTGTTTCTAACAAGATTGCAACCTACCTACCAGCCTCAGATGTTAAAGAAAGTGGGGGGGGGGGGAGCAGCGCTTTCAGTCAATTTGCAGGACTTCTTTTAAAGCAGAATGCAATTGATATGCAGGTAAAAGCAGTTCTTTTCTGCCGTCTCCAGTCTTGTAGTTGTGCCAAAAGGCCAGACCAAGTATCTTGTTGTGCTCGAATTTTCTGTCATATTTGCTTAAGAATGTCTATGGCTTTATAACAAATAAAGTTATATAAGTTACATAAGTATCTGTATGGATCTAAAAATGCTACCGTGATTTCCTTTTTTTAGTTCATTTGCCAACATGTCTGTAGGTCTTGGTTTGTAAAACACAAATATTCTTTTTCAAGACAACAACGTTGAGTTATGGCATTTCCTTTGATTTCAGCAAATAACCAGCAATAGAGTTGGTCCCTCATCTTTGAGAATATGATATGTTGCCTTGGCTCCTCACTGGGTGGATAAGCATAATAAGCCAAAGCATTATTCATATGGTCAGCAGTGCACTTTTATAAATATATTTATATCACTTTCTTATTAAGCATTTTACTTCATGTAAAGAAATTATGATGTCTCATACTTTTTATTTATGCCATACTTGTTTATGTTTATATATGTGTACAGCAATTATTATGGAATGGGGAGGGAGAAATTGACATCTTTGTGAATTTTTAAAAAGGGGAAAAAAGCAGCTGGTTTTGCAAAGATTTTTGATTACTGTTTATTACAAGATGTATCAGGTCAAAATGCCTTTTTGTTTCCTTGCTAATGTTTTTTTTTTGGGGGGGGGAGTAAGTGAAACAGAATAACAATATAGAAATGGCAATTTGGAATAATAGAAAGCCACAAATTAGATATATTAGAGACCATCAGTCTCATGTGTTACTGTTGATATAACACACAAAGTCTTCATCGAGCTTATTGCAATTGCTTCACAAAACAACAGTGATCTGTACTGTTGTGTAACAGCACAACAGTGAGGTTGCACAGTTCTAGTGTAACCTCATTTTAAGATAGATTTCACATATTGGTCTCACAACTTTTTTATGTCTGCATTTCTGTTGCATTTAAATTTCTATTTTAAACTCTGTGTGTGTGTGTGTGTGTGTGTGTGTGTGTGTGTGTGTGTGTGTGTGTGTATATATATATATATATATATATATATATATATATATATATATATAT